AATCATCTACATGTTCTCAGAAGTTCTTCTTAAGGTCAAAAGGTATTTTCCAACTTGCTTTAAATTGACCAAATTGTTTTAGGTGGTGACATTTTGTCATGTTAATGCCTTGTTTCTAAATGTTGAAATCCAAAAAACATATCTTTTTGGTTTATCAACACATACCGCCCACAATATAACAAGTATACAGATTGTAACATAGATAAGCGAATTGGGGAAAATTACAATCCCTTTGATCAAATTATTATAAGATTTAATCTCCAGCTGAGGCAAGGGCGTTACAATACCCGGGAATTTATCGGTTCGTGCAGTACTTGTTTGTGATAGCGCCCTCTGTAGGTCACTGTGCTTATAGCCTACAGTAATACGGGGTAGGATATCGGGAATTCGGTCAGTTTCCATCCGTCGATTTCGCTATGAATTGAAGCAAGTGTGACCACTTTATCCACTTAAACAATTTGATAATTGATTAAATCTTTAAACAAAATCGATAAACACGTTATACACTTCCTATCTCCTTAGAAATTAGCATGTATTTATGGATTGTGTTTTCGAACAAGGCTCGACCCAAACCAATAGGGAAATCCTTATGCTAATTAGTATGACGTCATATTTTCCTGGGAATCCTAGATTTCAAAGCCTCAGTCTGTTATTGTGTCAAATGTAAACGCTCTTTTGCAGACAGAAAATTGACAGATTAGCTTTTAACTTTCAGCATTGATGTTTAAATATTCTGTATTTCTACCGGACTTCTTGCTGAATATCATATAATGTTATAACTTGATTTGGACCATTGCCTGATTGATCATTCTGAAATTTTGATTGTGACTCATGATTGATTGGCGAGAAAAATAAATCTATTGTTTTCCAGCGAAGTCAAAATGTTACAGCATGAGTTATAATGTCGAGTTTGCATCATGTTAAATTCTGCTAGTGATTAGAAGTCCATGAACAAGCATACACATAAGAGACAAACACACCCAGGCTCCAGGCCGTGGATGGAAATATAAAACTATTTAAGGCACAAACTGGTATTTAATAGACCGATATGTAGTGTCTGCCATGTATTGAAGGTAAACAATCTGCATTATTAATGTTACTTCTATCAATACATGGATTGTGCAATGGAAAAGCAATGGCACAATCAAAAATGTGCATATCAATCGTGAATATCTCTCGGTTCAAAGCTTATTTCCAACAGAATCGTGTCAAAATATGTGTCTGAGTAACAGTTATACATTATAAGATCGCAAACTCTTACCAATTATCAGCCGAATGGCTCATTTTCAACGAAATGTCCTTAAGACAACAGCCCTGGGTCGCGCCTGAGACCAAAAACTATTTCAAATAGCCCTCCCCTAATTATATTGGATAATCACATTAATGCGTGCGCGCGCAGCTCATCCACTGAACGAAACGCCACTTCCCGCTGAAATCACCGGGTATTGATCTTTCCCTTGGCTGAGGTGCAATCAAAATGTTGATACACATAATTAGCAGTCAGAAAGAAGCTCTTACCACTGTAGTTTTCAATATTCCCTTTGTTGTAACATCTTATTTATTAAAAAGAATGGATATTGATGGTTGTATGGAAGCATTCATATCAAACATTCACATTATAGTTTACAGTGGAATTCACTCCATAAATGCAACATATTTACCATTTAAGATTTCATATTGGACTTTCCGCATAATGATAAAATGTTGACGATATAGTTTTCGATAAAACCCCAGGGCCGTAGCCAGCTTTCAGTCGGGGGGAGGGGTGATGCAATCACCAAAATATTTTTGGTTTTCAGTCGGGGGGTGCGATCGTGACATAAATGAGGCAAAAAATATTTGTTTTGAATTTTTACGAAAATGATGCAACTTCCTTCAAACCTGAGCTAGAAGCTTCAAACAAAAAATCAATTTAATGCTCTTTTCTTCCTCTACCTTATGGTACCTTTTATTGCTTGTAGGAGGGGGTGCGAACCCACCGCTTCTCCTCGTTACGCTTATAAACCCAATAACGTATTCCCAAGGAATCGACTTTATTAATTTATATGTGAAAAATGAGCTTGCATGTACAAATTGAATCGTATGCAAACCTTCCCCTGACCGACCCGGTCATGTTTATGTCTTTTGAATGATGTCTACCCCTTGATGCATGCATCCTTTAATAAGTGGTGTTAAGAATATTGGTGTAGGCCCTGGTGAAGGGATATGTCATAAAGATTTCACGTTATCGCGATATACATGTAGCCGCGTCCCCTTTGTCTTTATCCTTCCAAACGCAAACGGCAGATAAGAGGGGTTCTTAGTGATTGATCTGATGCTTAATAAGCCACTTACAAGATACAGTTTTAAATATTGATATTGTGTAAAGTTTTAACACATATGCGTAACCAGGGGGGGTCGCGATTCGTGAATGATCGCACCCCCCCCCCCTGCTTAACCAATAGAGAAGGAAGAAGAAAGGAGCTTTGAATGGCTTTCATTTGAAACTTCTAGTTCAATTTGAAGGAATTTGCAATGTCTGGTTCACATTTGCTCAAATTCATCGTCCGGCCTCCGGCCGATTGAGTATTTTGTTTAAAATTGTTTTCATGTTTGAAAAAACACTCAATCGGCCGGCCCCCGGCCGATGAATCGGAGCAAATATGACCCAGGCATATGAGGGGCAACATTTTAGATATAGTATTGTTTGAAATCCTGGGAAAATGTACTCCCCCAATTTTGCAAATCTGGTCTGCGGTGCTAATGAACCCTCTAATTTGTTTTCGTTTACATGAGCAACTAACAGATATGTTTATTCTCATTCTGTCTCAGCTTGATTTTAATTAAATTTTACCCCCACCCTTCGAACGTCTTTGTCTCTCTCATTTTTGCAACCCTACATTCAGTTTCTTTTTAAACCAAATCAAGAAATATCCGTCCACATATCAGATATTAAACCAATAGTTGTTCATTATAAGAACAACCATATATTATATTTATAGATCATAACCTATTTTTAATTTCAGCTATAAAATTAGTCCTCTCTCCCCTCCTCTATCGCTAGATACGCAGAGTTTCTAGACCGGCTAAGCACGTCTAAAAATTACTAGAAATTCCACAATTTAAACAGTGATATGGATTTCATGTTTCTATTGAATCCCTTATTTTGAAGTCTAGCTAAATAATCGAGTTTGATTTTAAACGTTTTCGGGGATCCGGGCAGAACTCAGGATATAGTACTTGAGTACATTTGCATTCAAAATAATTCAAAATTCAAAATTGCAAATATCATGGAAGTTGATTGCAATTATGTTCGATGATCGTCAACATGAAAGGACAATATGTCTGAATAATTAGCTATTAAACATCTTTATCAAAACTTTCCTACACTTTTAAATGTTGATCTTGTCAAAGAGTACTCTCCATCTGAGATTCAGATGTAGATCGAAAATCAAATTGATTTCAAAGGTATTTATAGATGGTTTACATGAGGGGTTCTGTCCATGGTGTATTCCTTTCATAGCAAAGAGTTGTTTTGCTTCCGGGGTCCTAAATTATTCAATTTTAAATAGTAACTAATAAGATTAAACAGATCAAAAAGACTCGGGGCACTGCCGTCGCCCCATCATGATCAATACAGGTGACAATAAGCGACACATGTTTCAGCGTCATGATAGTAAACCATGACATCTCAAATCTTCCCAGTCCTTGATTTTTGAGATCTTTCATCCCAGCTCATATTTCATCTAATTGGGGTCATAAAACTTGTGTAACTGTGCCTATTGCATCCTCGCTGGAAGGGTATTTTACAAGTATAAATGAAGTCCTTTGAAGAAGGATGTGCCTGTTGTTAAATACATGTACAATGCCTTATTACATTATGTAATGTATTGACATTAAGGTAGATGATTACATGATAACAATCACACTTATTGACATTCATAACTCTTCCCATCTGATATGCTCAGATCACAGAATATGCCTCATTATATCAGAGCATGTTTCAGGCGTTTCAGACCCATAGCCAGGATTTGCCAAGGGGTGGGTTACTTTTTAAAGAAATTCCAGGGGAGTTTACTTTTGGCAATGTTAGTTCAAAAATGAGCAAAATAATTTAAAAGGTGCTCAGTATGGGGTAAAAAATGCAATTTTGGTCACGGAGGGGGGGGGGGTCGCTAGAACCAATCTATCCCCCCTGTATTCGGGCCTGCATGTGCTATCTACATATTTGACAATTTGATTGACACAGTTCAAAGTGGACTTTGTTAATTATTCAAACTGTTTTAATATCTAGGAATATGCGTCCAAGTTAAAATCACTCGAAATCAGGGTAGATAAACCTAAGAAAAACACATTTCTTGTTTTCATTTGATCTTTAACATGATCCTGTAAAAATGTCAGATTTAGCAAAATACATAGGCGATCTCCATCTGCACACATCTACTCATTTCGACTAAGCTATTGCCTATACTTACACGCACACGCATACTTTTAAATTAATTTTATTTTGATAATGATTTAAAAAACACAAATTATTATTAACACGAAATTAAAATGATTGTTATATTCCAATCCTAGTAAAGTATAATTAAGCGCGACTATAGGGCATAACAACATGTGGCCGGTCTAATTATACTGTTTGTTTTGATAAGGCTGTGCAAAGAGATATCAAAACTCTTGACACGCTCTTTACACGCGAGGTCTTTGCACCTCTTGACACGTCTTGGGATCTCTAGATACGCGGAGTTCCTAGACTATCTTTGCACGTCTAGAAATTGCTTGGAATTTCACATTTGACGCAGTGCATGATCATTTACCTTCTGATTGGTATTGCAAGTCCTTTCTCTACAAGGACCATGATCATTTACCTTCTGATTGGTATTACAAATCCTTTCTTTACAAGGACCATGATCATTTACCTTCTGATTGGTATTACAAATCCTTTCTTTACAAGGACCATGATCATTTACCTTCTGATTGGTATTACAAATCCTTTCTTTACAAGGACCATGATCATTTACCTTCTGATTGGTATTGCAAGTCCTTTCTCAACAAGGACCTTACTGACGCTGATGTATTCTACAGTGGAGGGGGTGAGAGCATCACCTTCTATCTTCTCCTCTACCTGCAGATCCACTGCTAGGGAATCACCCAGCATCTCATTCTGAAAGCAACAAACATGTACAGTCAATCCTGTCAGATGTAATACCTCTTTATAAGGAACGCCTGTCTATTATAGAAACTTTTTAAAAGAAATGCGTCCAATTGACTTGCATGTTAATGGACCTTCTGTGGAAACACATGTATTCAAGGTACAATTATAGCCAGTTCTAAGGGTGTTCCATATACACAGGTTTTACTTTATTGAATTGATAGAGGGATTACCCTAGCACTAAAGCAATTGGTGAAAGAGAGTGTAAAAATTATATTTTTTATAAGTTATTTTTGTTCAGCCTTACAAGTAGGAACATTTTGGAAACTGCTTTGCCATCTTAAATATAAGAACACTTAAGAATAAGAGACAAGGGGACAACAATAGCATACCTAAAAATCAAAATACCAAGCATTACCAAAAATTTAAAACCAATTTGTCCTAAGTTTTGTCTGGAAATGTGCAGACAGAAGAGTAAGAGGCTGCTGCCCATCTGCAAACCTTGTGTCAAAATTGTACCTTTTTAATGTAAAATAAAAAGACACCATATACACCCCCAAAATGCAATCTGATCAACACCGTTTTGGTGCCAAATTTTAGCACCAAATGGACAAACTTAGTCCGGTGCCAAATTTTGGTGTAGAAAGGTTTTGGTGCCTGGACGGTGCTGAAACGGTGCCGGAACAGCACCAAATTTTTTCGATGCCGAATTGGCGCTGAATTATATTGGCTGTGTAGAGTAACCAACCTTGTTTACAATATACAACTCTGGGTTTGCCCTAACAACATCACCAAGCGCCTCACACGCGGTTCTAGACCAAGAATTCTTATCTCCCGCAGCACAGATATCAGATAGATGGCAGCGTATGCAGAAACAATGTGGTTGGTCGTCAGAGTTGGCGAGAACACGTGTTTCAGTCAATGGTAGTGTGTCGATGTAGCCATAGTCTACCATAAACACCTGGAATATAATATGATTTCTCATGTAAAACAAGCAAGAACCAATGTATATACTGTATATGAAACTGTGTATGTAAAACAAGCAAGAAATTTTTAATGAAACTGCAATATGAAATCAATAATTTTTAAAGCAGTATAGTTTTTTGAATAAGAGAAACCACACATGTCAGACTATAATTTGTGTTGAAAATAAAGGATTAGGACACATACATGTATTTCACAATTCAATGCGCATAATTTATGATAGAACATGTAAAATGTCACCACCTGCCATTTGTTACAGACACTGACCACCAAATACCAACACCATATAACAATATACCAGTGGTGGTGTCATAAAGAGGATCCCCATACTAACCTCAATTTGATTATCTGGTAATATTTTCCTGATCTGTGCTCGATACCATAGGGTATCTACAGAGTACCTAGCTGCACAGAATTCCATCTCATGCCATGATACTGGGTTATAATCAGAGCCTTCAAATTCACTCTGCAGTCCTGACATGAGCCTAAACATAAAGACAGTTAAATTAAAGTGACATTTAATGATTTATGATTTACATGTAAGACTCAAGGCTAAAAGGGCCATACCTACATCTTTCTCTCAAAATTATGATCTTGGGACATTTGTGAGTTGGAAAAAGTTAAAAATACAGGATTACATGTTTGTTTTCATGTCAAAGTGGATGAATCCATTTTTAATGATCTAGAAAATGAGTAACACTGAATTGTCGACACATTTCAGCTAAACACACCTCAATCAAGTGTCAAAATATCTTTTTAAAGTTCTGACTTACTCATCAAGTCCATCCTCTCCTGCTGTAGCTAACTGGACATACAACTCTGAAGGGGACTCACAGTGGCTCACTTTAACAGCCTTGGACATCTTACGATCTGGTGCCTTCTTCCTCTCTGGTGACATTTCCTTTGGTGTAGGTGTAGCTTCCTTAGGTTTGGTTATTTGTCTGGGTGGGGATACTGATGCATGGTGGGAGGTTGTCGTGATAGGAGAATCTATATGATTTGAAAGCTGGAAAAAGACAGGGCAAATGTATTATGCTTTTGCATGAAGGGTATTTCCACACGCTAAAACATGTAGTGTATTTGAAGTTTAAATACTTTGATATTTACACATAAACCATTGGTAGAGTTATGATGAACAACCTATGAGAAAACTTGTGAATTGACATCTACATGTATACGAGTCCTGACTCCAATTTTGAGTCTTTCTTGAAAACCATGCATACTGTTGTTGGATTGTTTGACCCCATTTACACTAGGGAACCAATTAAATAATAAAAATACCACAGCTTTTTCAAAAAGAAGTAACACTTACAGAGGGACTTTCCTGAATTAGGTTCTCCGGTAGAGGGTCAGCAGGGAGAGACCTAAAATAAACAAATAACTTGGAATATTGACAGTTAAGCTTTCCAACGGTAAAGGTATGCAAGAAGGAAAGATACAAATGCTCTTATTATAAAGGATTTTATTGTATGAGAATAAAATTAATCCAGATAATAAAATTTTTCTGGAGCAGTTGTTTTTTAACATACTCCCAGGCATCACCCTATAAAATTTGAACCAAACCTGTCAACTGGTATTTGAGTTATCACCTGCACAGATGAATCAACAGATTGGTGCACAAACTATTTCTCTATACTTGATCTTGGTTCTATGGAATAATTAGAGCTTTTGTTTCTTTTATTCCAGGACACCCTGTATATCCAAACCAAAACAGAATACTGTTGCATGAGACAACCAAAACATCCTATTTTCCGTAAAGGAATAAATTCTCACTGTCCAAAGAGAGCACATCAGTGGCACAATCTGTATGAATAGAGATCTGGGAACAATATACTGTATGTATTTTTTCTATTACCCACCTAGGTCCAGTACTGATGGCGAGATCATGTCGTACCAGCTCACTGTTTATACATATTTCTTCAACATGAGGATTGGACGCATCATATAGGACAACCTCTAAGATATTGCCTTGCTTAACACCTACAATACAGGAAATACATTTTTCAATCAAAGAATAGTCAATTTATGATGTCAACGAGATTGGAATGTAGCATCTAACAAGTGCAAATATAACTGCAACGACAAACTTAAGGATGACATGAAAAGTCCATTTGTTGATGTGACATGTCATTGTCTTATGTGCACCCCCATTTTATTTTTATTTGTTCCACCAACCTGCTCAATTCAAAAAGATCTTAAAAATATGGCGCTATAATATATAACTAATAGCATCCCAAAGCACTCTAGTCTACATACCAACAATTTCAATTCTCAGTTTGCGTTTATCCGCATTCCCAAACCAATCAATGGCCGCCATGGACCATCCATTTGACTTGTCAAGGGGTCTTACATCAGCCAAGCTGCACTGTATGGCCTGAGTAGGTAGTATTAGGAAAGAGTCCAAGATCTTCTTCAGCTTATAGTATGATACAGTCTCGACATTGCCAAAGTCCACATATTGAACCTCAACCTGTGTAATAAAAATATTTTTCAGTACAATAACCTTATAAAGGAACACCTGCATAATAAAAATAATATAATATAAAGTGAATACAGCATTAAAGGACAACTGAAATAGCTACAAAAATGTGGTTTTCTCCATTGTAAGCCCACCGTAGAGTTCTTGCGATAGCCATTATAAAATAAATGTTAGATAACTGCTAACGGTCAAAGATAACGAAATAAAACTAACTGATAAATCAAATTGGCCCCTACGTGATTAGTAATGTCATATACAAAATATAGCTTTGGTTTATTGGTTCCATAGTAATCACAACGTCACGGCAACCATAGGATTGTTGTGTAAACAAATAACAAAACATTTTGGCAGTATGACGTCATGATCTAATGGACCAAAATGGGCCACATGGGGACCAGTGAGAGATCACGTGGGGGCCAATAACGTCACAACCAATTCGAATATTGCTTATTAAGCAGCTATAACGATCGTTAGAGTGAAATAGTTTTCACACTACTGATGAGAAAACATGTTCAAATACATCTATCAAAAAATTATATTGATTCCTTTAGGTTAAAAATACCATTTCATATCTGCTTTAACATGATACACTGTAGCAGTGTTCACAATGCAAGCTTTTTACAAAGAAGTCATATTCCTAAACGTTCTTTTGCATCATTGTTCACAAACACATGATTTACTGTATCCACTCATGAATACAGGGTGATCAGGAAATTGTAAAGGTCAACTTGTGAATGTTCTGAATTGGGTACAAGGGTAAAGATTCTGGAACAAAGGGTGTGAATAGAATTTATGATCAATTATGTAAATCATGTTATATCCTGAATCATGCATTATCAGATCTATCAGGTTACACTTTATCTATAATATGCAAAGGAGTTTTTAATATTCAAGCAATTCAACATCTATGTAAGCAGAAAATGAATGGTTATACTTTGTTTTTACTCGTTTTATTTAAAATAGCAAGTTGAGAGGAATTCAAACCCATATTGTATTGCAAGATAAATAAAGATTTTAAAACATGCAAGTTAAAAGAGATTTTTAAACATGCAAGTTAATATGAACTTCAATGCATGCAAATAAATTTGGATTAAAACAATGTATAGTTGGTCAAAAACATTATAAAAAGCATGCAAGTTAACATGTTAAAACAACATATTCAAGTTCTGGGAGGATTCAAGTTAATCATAAATGTTTAAAGGATGTAGAACTGTTTGCATGCACGTTAAAGGCAGAATCTAATCTAGTGAGCAATCTTCCCAAAAAGCTGTTTAATTTTTATTTGAGAGAATTCATTTATTATGATATGATAGCACAGTTCTTTTTGGAATATAATATATTTGTAATGATAGAAAATACTGCACTTTTGTCACCTCCTAACCTCCTTTACAGTTCCTAAAAAAGGTAACAAGCAAAAACCTTGTTAAACCACAAAACCAGTGATTATTACATCCATTTAATTTAATTTACCATGAAGCCACATGTCTTATCTTTCCAATAATATGCCATTTGTTGATATGTGATCATGGATCACTGAAATTGATGTAATCATATCTGTTTTTTGTTTTTTGCTTGTTGTGTTTTTTGGGATGCACTGTACATCAGATTCACTATTAAGATGTTAGTCAAACAACATTCCAAGTAAGTGACATTCCAAGGATTCATACATTTAAAACAGCTAGTATGCGTAGGGTTCAGCTGAACATGCAGTTAGAAATATCACAATATGTAAGGGACCTCTCACAAATATATTCTGGTTGGGATAAATTTTTCTTTCTAGTAGACTACAACGACATATTTATGGGAGCCAACAAGAAAGTAGGGAGTCAACAAGGGAGCAAGGATTCATCAAGGGAGCAGCGAGTCAACAAGGGAGCAGCGGATTCAACATTTGGGGGCAGGGATTCAACTAGGGAGGAGGGAGTCAACACGGGAGCAACTAAAGCTAGAACCTGACATAATAAAGCATACTGTACCTGCTGGAAATCAAAAACAAAGAAAAAAAATTACATAAGAACAACACCTTTTCAGTGTTCTTCGGCAAAGTAAAGACTTAATGTTGAAGTCACAAAGATATCTTAAACAAATGAGCAACATCAGCGCTTATACATGTAATGAATTAATAAAAAATATTCTTTGATCTGTCAAATTTTATGGAAAGTCTTTGATATTTCAAATGCCAGGAGGCAAAGATTTTAATATCATGTGATTCATTTGTTTTCATCTTGGCATTTTCCTGATTGTAGTAACTTATTTCCAAGATTTTCTGTTCCTTTTTTCATTTTTAAAGCGCACAGTTCCCCATAACAGCAAGGAGCATGGAGTTTGCACTTACCCGCCGTCTGCCAGGGAGCATAGTGACTTTAGCCCTGTACCACAAGTTGTCCTCGGAGAATTGGCAGACACAAATCATGTTCCGCTGAGGGCAGAATATAGACCATAAATCACCCCTGTCCTTGTTATATGTTGTTTGCAGATCTAAAACAAATGAGACATATAAATGAAGTGAGCTGAAATTTCATACCATCTGGAAACTATCTGGTCAGAAATTTTCATTACCTTTTATAGGACTTTTGAATTATGTCTAGTATTTTCTTTCTTTCTTTTAGTAACATATTTTCGCAGTGAAGATTAAAATCTTCAGTTTTCCTACAAAACACCATCATGATAAACCATGACATCTCATTTCTTCTCAGTCCTGTTTCAGGTGAAACAGAAAGATGCTACTGCTGAATGAGTATCAGAATGGCAACACTAAGCTTAAATGTAGGAGCCTTGGCCTTAATAGAATTGTATCTAAAGTTTACCATTCATCATCTGTGCTAAGTAGACCGCTTCATCCCCAATCAGCTGAGCGTAGAACTGGTCTGGGTGAACAACGTGGCTTATATGTGCATCAATCTTCTCCCCAATGTTTGGTAACTCAGGGGTAAGGTACTTCCTCACAGGGAAAGATGAAGGTCCTGTAGAAATATAATATACTACTTTTACATAGAATACAATATCATATAATAAATTAAAATTCTTGAAAGGGTTTCTGGTTTAATTTCACTCTTTTTAGTGATCTAGTGCAGCTTTTTTGCCATGTAAACATGGCTCAGAATTGTTTTTTTTTTTGTTTTTTATACATAAATTTATTCCTTTAGTAAACAATAATAGACATGCAATTGATTGCCAAAGTTATATAAAAAAACATTAGCGGCAATTTTAGACAATATGAATAGGAATACATTAAAATTTTTAAATTTATCAAAGTAATGTTTTCACTCATATAAGAAACTATAATCCCATGGGCCAGGGATGAGTTAACACATGCATGCAAAAATTAGCGAAACCGATCAATTTGGCTCAAACTTTGATTCACAAAATGACTCATTAGTTCTATTAATTTTGTCATTTAATAAATTATCTAAATCTTCATCACCATACAAAAGAACTGAATTTTGTCAACTGTGTTCAAACTCTGAACCAAAAGATGAAGATCTGAAGTTCGCAGTCCTGCAAATAAAGTTTCACGCTCGTTTACAAGCAGAGGATATTTTAAGATAAAATGAGAAGGTGTTTGTGGTAATCCACATTTACAAAAGGGATCACTAACACTGGTGAAATTATGAGCATATAGCTGCGATTTTAAAAGAAGACCCACTCTGAGTTTGTTAAAAGCACATTCAACATTTTGTTTACCATTTTGGCTCAGAATTGTGAGTGATTTAATGCACCTCTGTGTTGTATTCCTAGTCTTTAAAATTCAGCCTCCTGCCCTTATTCAAAGTTTCATACAAGACCCTCGTGTATAAAATTGTCCACAAAAATATCCATTCAAAGAGAGCATTAGAAGTATATAAGATCACAAAATCATACAAGACTTGACAGATTTTACCATACCATGCAGACATCCTCTTCCACTCATTTTGTCCGTTTTACAAATGTTATAGCTCCACAGATAAGCAAACAAAAAGGCATTGACATGAGAAAATGTCAACACATTGACACCTTGTGTTATTGCAAAGGTTACAAAATGTTACAACACTTATCTGTTGGCATCCTTTAGTTGCAGTCAATGAGGATTGGCTCCCAGAGTGCAACATAGATATTCTGTCCCATATATGGGCATGTCATGATTTTGTTCACTTCCAACATTTGAATCGTGAATTTTGGTCGTATTTCCTAACAAAGAACTCCAAAACTTATCAGAAATGATCGAGATATTGGTTCAAATCTTTTGAACTGTTTATTTTGAATTCATAGTCGGTTATAATTTTAGAAAATAATGTTTTAATTGTTGGAAAATATCGGGTTTTGATCCTGGTAGCCAATCCTCCTTGAGTTGCAGTAAGAAATGTGAGAAATGTTTTAAGAAAAATAATTTGTTTCCACAGTGGCATATTTACATTGCCATGGTAACTGAAACTGTTAAAAATAAAGTCATAACAAGTCTATACCAATATGTTGACAATAAAAATTCAAGTCAATGTGAACTCTAGTTCTTAAGTTATTGCAAACAGTGACAAAATATTACAAGTCTATTTATTTGCTGTAAGGGACATTACTGATTGGCAGAAATGTGTTTGATGGAACTCATAAAACACACAAGTGTAATAACGCAGCAATAAACAGTGCATGGGAATAAAGCAACTACAGTATTTCACTAATTGCATACCCTTGGAAAATCTATGTGAGATGCCTTAAAAATTGTGCACCCGGTTGAAAAAAAATTCCTGAGGAGATCACTTATCTCCTTAGTTACAATAACTAGAAGTGATATTTACATGTAAAATATACCGACAGCCTTCACTTATTATAGGCTATAGCCATTGCAAACATAAAAGTATATATGCTTATCAGAAAATGAGGTCAAAGTACGCAGTAGAAGGACTCACAGTAAATACTGACCAGTTTTTCATAGGTTGTTTTTGTGAATACACACTTTATGTGAATTAGAGACGGAGTACAAGAAACAACATAAGGACATAATCAAGAGCACAGAGTGCAGCTAATTTTTACATTGATCTTCACATAAATCTCAAGAAAAATTAAGAGAAATGCGTTTTGCAGGCAAATGTATCATTGTGACAGGTTCAAATAGCGGAATTGGGAAAGCTACTGCATTACTGTTTGCAAAAGAGGGTGCTAGTGTGCTGATACATGGACGTAATATGGAAACTCTAGAAAAAACAGTTGACGAGTGTAAAAGGATTGGAACTGAAACTGCAAAATTTCCGATGGTCCAAGGATGTTTTGAAGAAAATGGATTCCTCAAAAGGATCTTTGACACTGCACTAGCGGAATTTGGAAAAATTGACATCTTGGTTAACAATGCTGGTATGGATGAACCATCAACGGCAATTGTGGGATCTGAGGATGTATTTGATCGCCAAATAAACTGCATCCTGAAAGCACCAATATTCTTGTCCCAGCTATGTTTCCCAGAATTGAAGAAATCAAAAGGAATTGTCATTAATGTCTCGAGCATGGCAGGTACCAGACCATTTGTGATTGGTTCGACATTCTATAGTATCGCAAAAGCTGCACTAAACCAGTTCACACAATGTGCAGGGATCGAAATGGGTTCTGAAGGGGTCCGAGTGAACGCTGTCTGCCCAGGATACGTGGACACTCCCATGTTTTATACCCATGAACGTGGCGAAGAGAGAACCAAAGAAACAAAGGCAAGACTTGAGATACTCTCAAAATGTGTACCAATAAACAAGATTGGAACGGCTGAAGAAACAGCAAAATTGATTGCGTTTATTGCTTCTGATGATGCCTCAATGATGAACGGGGCCTGTATCGTTCAAGATGGCGGAAACACTCTAATGGGACTTGATACACAAACTATTGAAAACGCAGCAAAGTAAAGCTGAATATTTGAAATGATACCCAATTTTTTTATATCCAACCAATGTCTAAAAATCAACAGTTGTGCTAAATATGCTATTTTTGTTTTGGTTTTTAGCCTTCTAAATCCCGAAATGCAATTTGAAAAAATGTAACTCTAAATTTCATCACAGGATGCTAAGGATAGAGCGTAAAACGTTGTCAAATGCCAATATTTCTGACAATTTCATTTTCTGAGAAACAAATCTGACCATATAATAAATATACAAGTTATTGAATATCTTAAAATGCAGTTGTGCAAATAAAATTCTTTTTTGCCAAATAACCTTACAACATCCCAAATCTATCGATATTGCATCTAAAGAAGACATTCTTCTCACGAAAGTGAAAAAAAGTGATAAGTGTAAAAGTGAAAATATTTGTCAGACTTACGTCCTGGAATTTCCACTGAAGCCTCAGAGAGAAACACAGCAAGCTCAAGGAAGACGAGAGCATCACGGACAGAGACAGGACGGTCATCCTCAATGTCTTCATTTGGAGGCTTACTCAGGTCAACATACATCACACTGTTTGCGTGGTTTATAACCTAGAAAACAAATAAAGTTGGTTTTCATGGTCAAGTTTATGGGAGTCCTATTTCATATTCAAAACATTTTGATGAGTTTTCATATTCGAATCGTAATATAGACCTCAGAGCAGGGGTAATATCGTCAAATACACCCCTTGGGGCTACTAGGCACAAAAGCTTTCGAATCCCTCACTACCTTCGGTCATTCGGGGTACAGAAATAATTTGTGCCTAGTCCCGCGGGGTGTATTTCATATTCGAAACATTTGATGAGTTTTCATATTCGAATCGTAATATAAACCTCAGAGCAGGGGTAATATCGTCAAATACACCCCTTGGGGCTAGGCACAAAAGCTTTCGAATCCCTCACTCCCTTAGGTCATTCGGGGTACAGAAATAGTTTGTGCCTAGTCCCATGGGGTGTATTCGACAATATTACCCCTGCTCTTCGGTCTATATTTCTTTATATTTCTGTAAATTACATACAATACAGTTGAAAATTAAGATTAAAACCCGAGAACTCTATGAATTGTGAATAATTTAAACATTAAATGTCTTGTATATAGACTTTAAACGAGGGTAGTATTTACCCAACATCAAAGGCTAGAATACAAGACAATGGGTACATTAAATCATCCAAAATTCATGGAGTCATTGTGCTCGATTTCTTTTCATTCATTTAAAAAAAAGAACATTTTTTAATGAGTTGTAAAGTTTATGGCTCTTGAAATTTTGACTTGTATAAGCACCAACCTTGTTGTTCATTATTATACTAAGTTTTTCACTCAATATTCAACTTGAAATTTTGAAATTGATGACCTGTCATCAATTTTGTTGTTTCTAAAATTAGTAATTCATCTATTGTAATTTTAAGAATGCATGTTTTATTAAATACCGTGCTCTGATTGGCTGGATTGTGATATATTACGCCTTGTATGTATGAAAACAATTAAATTGTACATACCGTCATAAGCATGGGTTTTTCTGCTATCATCTTTGCAAACTCTTCACTTGCTTCACTTGACCAATTAGAAGCCTGGTAATAAAATTTGACAGTAAATTCTAAATACTGTACATTGTACCTACATGTATGGCAACTATCTCACATATGACACAATGAAGAGAACATTTGAAAAATTGCTACTTAATAAATAATATATACACATGTTTTTAAAACCATGTATTCATGGCCGTAAATCACAGAAAAATAAGTATGGTTGGAGAAGAAGTGATTTCTGCTAGAAAATTCAATAAATTTGAGAAAGTCTATCAATAAATTGCTAAATGAATATTGGCACACACTCTATGGTAAAATCTGTTTGGTGTTTTTGAGTTTTAAGTGATACCCTTGTACGTGTAGGTGTCAGATCTATTTTAAAAGGTCTTTTTGCTATCAATCAAGCAACATGACCTGTAATAATATAACCTGCAATAGGTGAGGTCAATAATTAACAGGCCCATAGCCAGGATTTGCCAAGGGGGGGCACTTTTTGAAAAATTCCAGGGGGATTCACTTGTGACAATTTTGGTCCAAAAAATGGCCCAAATCACTTAAAAGAACTCAGAATGGTGAAAAACTGCATGATTTTGAAAGATTTTGTGGCCAGGGGGGGGTTCACTCAAACCCATTGAATCCCCTGGCTACGGGCCTGATTAAAATGATACAGTTGACAGGGTGGGGGATATTAGACTGTCAATTCATCTATAATTTTTTTATAACAGTTATCATGAGAACTCTACATTGGGCTTACAATGCATAAAACTGCATTTTTATAGATGCATGTTGAGAAAACCTATATCATTTGAGATAACCACAAATGGATTGCAATATGTGCTCATAACATTTTCATAATACAAAGTGTAAACATAATGATAAAATAATGACGGGCTGATTAAATAAAAGCCTTTTCATTAATTGTTATAAATAAATTGTTGCAAGTATTAAACGTGGCGTTACCAACCAGGTAAGACAGAATTATGAATTAGACAGAAAATAATGAATAAAAAGATGCCATGAAAAGATGTAATAATATATGAAATTTACTATCTTATAGATTGGACACATCATTACATCGTCACTACAAAGTTTGTGCACATACAATATTTTCTAGTCAATACTGTACCAGTTTTAACGATGGCTAGGAATGGATTCGGTTTAACAGTATTAACTGCAATTGCAATTCTTAGTTGCAATTTAGGTGAGACCCTAATGATAAACTAAGCAACATTTAAAAATAAATAAAATAAGAAAATATAAACAAACATCCACTTCCAGAGAAGAAATCTTCAACAACAGAGAAACAGTGTTTCAATGAACAAACAAAATATGCTTTATAGAATAGTCATGTATGTGTTATTTACATGCATTTTTCAAATGTTTCTCATTTTACATGCATTTTCAAGTGTTTCTCATTTTACATGCATTTTCAAGTGTTTCTCATTTTGCATGCATTTTTCAAATGTTTCTCATTTTACATGCATTTTCAAGTGTTTCTCATTTTGCATGCATTTTTCAAATGTTTCTCATTTTACATGCATTTTCAAGTGTTCCTCATTTTACATGCATTTTCAAGTGTTTCTCATTTTGCATGCATTTTTCAAATGTTTCTCATTTTACATGCATTTTCAAGTGTTTCTCATTTTGCATGCATTTTTCAAATGTTTCTCATTTTACATGCATTTTCAAGTGTTCCTCATTTTACATGCATTTTCAAGTGTTTCTCATTTTGCATGTAATGCTTTAATACCACAAATAATAGTGTAAACTCTTTACTTTGAATACAATTAAAAGGCACAATGTAGATAACTCTCACTGACTTAAGATGGATTCACTTTAATATTTCACCCAAATTTAATTCATAGTGCCAAAGTCAAATTCATTTAAAACCTAAAATTCTGGTTGATGTATTAATTAGAAGGGAATCATGATCAATTTCAATTCCCCCACTTCTTTATTGATAATATAATTGTTCATCATATCATTTCTGTTTGTCAAAGTAATCTTTGCCGATGAAGCCCAATGTCCTTCAAAAGATGGATTTCTGTGTAAACAGAGGGATATCACCAAGGTGACAGAAGACCTAACAGAGCTGATTGACAGTATGTCAACAGAATTGAAGGCAGATATGAATGCCCTGAGGGAACAGATATCAGAGCTGTGCAAAATGACACCAAGTTGTTACAGGGCCTGTCCCACAAGTAAGCAGATTGATTCAGCAATTTTCATTTGGAATTTCTTGAGTTTACAAACAAGGAACTCTGATGTTTTAGAGAGAACATTTCAGGCTCAGAGCCTGGGGGTAGGGAATATTTGAGCAGATTAATTGCTCCCAAGGTGGGAAAATTGACTCATTGATTTCACAAAAATTTAAGATTTTAGTAGATTAAGATTATAGAATTGGATCGCCCAATTTTTTGTCAAATTCCCAAACACATGCCCACATATAGGGGGTGGGGGGGGGTCTTCAGAAAATGTTTGAATGGTGCAAAAGAAGCAAGTACCTGAGTGTACCATCATTAGCCAGAATATATGGTAAATCTACAACTACCCTTATTATACTGAATTTTGTTTTTGGTTGTACTATTTAGACCATAATTGTAGGTGATCAAATTGGTTGTTCAGAAAAAACAGCTGCAAAATCATGTCTTGAAATCCTACAAGCATATGAAAATCCACCCCCATCAGGCATATACTGGGTAAACTTGAGTCGCAATAACAAAGTTCAGGTATACTGTGATATGACTACAGAGGAAGGTGGATGGATGCTTGTTTGGCGGTTTACTTTCACAAATTACGACGACTTTGCCGCACTGAATAATTCAATAACACCAAGACCAAGTTGGAACCTGGATGCGTTCATGAGTGAAGAAGGGATCGCAGATGTTAAAGTTCCCGTGTCAAAAACTCCGCCTCGATCTGAGGAACAACTTGGGGCACTTGAATTTAAATACTGGAAACAAATTGGGAAGAGCTTTATCATTAAATCGAACATAATCAACTGGATTATGTGTGAGGAAGATGAAGGAGGCATCACAACGGAATTCAAAGATGGTGAAATAAAATGTAAGGTGATAAAAGTGATCAACACGGATGCAACCAACTGCACAACCGTTGCCCCTAATTCGGCATGGTGGAGTATCTGTGGCTTAAATCTGAGAACTGGTAGAAGAAATTCAAATTACATCAAGTTTGATATACGAGATACGATTTGTTCTGCGCAATGGGATCCCTGTGGCAAAGGCCCCAGAAATGGACATGTTCGCAACGTCCCTTTCCCTCATGGCAGTATCTTTATTCGATAATTCCAATACATTACGATTATAATAGGTAATAACATTTTTTCTTTACTCGCATCTTAATCTTTATAATTCTCCTTATTTACTCTAATAAACATGTAAGGGTGTAAATACACAAATATTATTGAGCACCCCTCATTGGATTCAAAATATAAAATATTCAAAGGCTTGTGGTGAGGATTGATGTTGAATAAAGTAATAAATGATGAATAGTATGTGTTAACCCTGCATAATTTGAAACATGCAATGTTAACTGTTTATAGGTTGTGGTATGATCAGAGAGAATTTTACTTGATACTGTACGAGAAAGAAATGTGCATTGACATAGGAAATGGGAACCAGAAATACATTATGATAAAACATTTATTCGGAAATAAATCAGAAAAATAATAGAATAAAATATATCATGTTCTTGAATCAAGCCATGCAGAAAGAAGAAACAAAGAATTTTTCTTCGTGGAGAATGAGTGGGGTTAACACTAGCCTTGGGCTATAGACATGAAATATACACTGTTATGCCTTTTATTAATCGAAAATCAGTTTTGTAACTCACTTAAACAATGATGCATGCAAAACTTTCTCATGAAAAAAAAAAATCTTGCAGATTTTTTGAATTTTCTAGCAGAAAAGTCATTTTGTCTGATTTACGGCCATGCTATTATTGATACATCACACTGGTGTTTTATTATACTCCTAACATGTGAAACAAATGTGAAGTACATGTAGTTTAGCAGTATGTAGTTTTAGTTATAGTTTGAAGTTTAAGTTTTCTTTGAACACTCTATAGTGACTCACTGGAGGATCTGGGGGGGGGGCAGGGGCCAAAAACAGGCCTTACAGCCCCAAAAAGTGAGCCTTTTGGTCATAAGGCCTTATTTTTTCATAATAGGCCAAATTTTGAAGAAAAAGGGCCTCAAAATTTCAAAATCTGGGCCCACTTTTTGGTTTTAGGGGCCCAATTTTTTTTTCTCAGCTCAGAAGTTTGGGCCCCCCCCCCCTTGTTGGTTCCCAGATCCGCCCCTGTGACTGATGTGTCATTTCATATGACAATTGATTATTCAGTCAATAAAAGATATATACATATTATTGTATTATTCAACATTTAGCTCTACTATAAGGGAGCACTAATTTCAGTGGATCACAAAAACAGTCTCACCTTATCAGGGGGCACTATATCCACCAGTGAACAATTGACTGCCAATTCTTGAACCTTGAGGAATTTCTTCTGTATTGTACGCAACCTAAAAATATTCAATTAAATAAGAAACCTAGCAAGTATGCAAAACAAATAAGATGTAAAAATTAATTAGTAATACAACACAGTAAATTCAATCATGGTTACATTTATGCATGGTTTAAATTAATTGAAAGACATAGTCATACATGTAACTACATACTTGATAATACATATTTATGCACAAGTAATTCTTTTTTTCCATTACATACATGTAACAGACCTCACTGGCAGATCCAGGGAGGGCATGGGGCTTGTTAGGGCCCCAGGAAATTTGTATGGCCTCAAAAATGGGCCTTTTTGGGCATAATTTGGCCTTATCAAAAAATGGGCCTTGAATTTTTAAAATTTGGGCCCAATTATCAATTTAAGGGGCCCAAAGAAAATTTGGCGCGTAAGCGTGGACATTTTTCCAACCTCAAAATTTGGGCCGCCTCCTTGTTAGCTTCTGGATCAGCCAGTGGACCTAATTAGATGATACAGTCAGTTAACAGGCTTGGTTTAAGAGTTGCCATAGTCTAACATAACAGATCCAATGCAAAATACAGCAACAGTCAAAGAGTTGCAATAGTCTACACAACAGACCTACCTAGATACAGCCACAGTCTCAGAGTTGCCATAGTCTACATAATAGACCTCTACCATATTACTGGAATAATTCTCCATGTTGGCAGGGTCAGTGGTAAGACGCTTCACTCTTGCTCTATACCAGTTATTATCTGCATTGTACTTTGCTAGCACCAGATCATCTAAATTGGAAAAAGACTACATGTAGTGATAATTAACAAGACACAGAGTGAACCAACCAAAAATTGGTTCTAGATTTTCACATTATATCAAGAAATTTTCTGAAAATTTTGAATCAATCTTTCCAACAAACTGTTAGTGAAACATGCAAATATGAAAGGTGCCTGTAACTTTTCTTACACATAAAATACTTGTAAATTACATATATAAATACTTCCCATCATAGAAAGATGCCAATTTATTTTATTTTAGAAGTTGAAAACTGTTCTCAATATAAGCTAATGGGTTTATAAATTTGACAAAGAAACCTTGCTATTTGAAAATATAATCTTAACATGGAAACCATTGCAAAATTCTTTAAAACAACAGACAACTTTGGCATAGACACCTATTGAAAACCACCAATTTTGTCATGCCTGCTGCTGTTCAAATACCACAGATTAACAATACCTGGTTCGACTGTGTTTGGAATATGTCCCCTGGCCTCTAGACTCTCGCACCATTTGTTCATAAGCCTTGACAGTGACCTGAGTCTGTCCCCATCTGCAACCCTCTGTATGACAAAGTTACATGGGTTCTTGATATGGGTCACGTACACAAGCTCTTGTCTCACTGAAATCAATAAAAAACAAAATGGTTTGGTTTTTAACAAAGATCTAGAGGATGAAAATGATAGTAATAGTTGATGAACCAGGAATATGATACAATCAGGTAAAATGTGTTTCAAAAGTAAAGAGGGATGCTGTATGTACCTTTTTGTGAATGTTCACACCAACTATTGTTTTAGTACTCATGTACTTTAGCATAATATATATTCATTTTACTATATGTTACGTTCATGTATAGAAGGCAGCACCCAGCAATTTATACAAAATACATGACTACTTACATTTAGCTTTTTAGAAATACTCGAGAGCGACATATTCAATGTTTTTGATTAATTGATAAAATGCAATAAAAATACTGAATTAATCCAAATATATATATAGAGTGGCAAAGAATTACAATAGAGTACTCTACTCACAGAAAGAGAGAAGTTTTTGAGGACGTTTGCCCAGAGTTTTCCTGTGTGCAATATGGCTGCCTGTAGCACTGGAGCTGTCACTTGTGTCATCTTAAATAAGAATTAGAAAAAACATTAACATGCAAAATGTCACCACCTACCATTTGTTACAGACACTGAACACTAACCACCGAACATCATCCACAAAAAAGTTGGAGACTCATCACTTGTGGTGGTAACATAATATGAACTTTACTTTGGCAGTTCACCTCTCTCCGCCCCATTAAAACACTTGCACAGAAGGTAAATCAGACAGGGAGACATTAAAATATTTAGTCTTTAACTTCATGACAATGTTCCAACAATAGTATTCCAATTGCTAACAGTGATGAACATGTGATAAGCCATGTTATAGTGTAATGAAGTATCCCATAGAAGTAACACAGGATTTATCCCTGGCAAAGCATACTGCCTAAAAATTCACGATTGAATGAATATGATATCAATGACTTATTTAACCCACTGAAACAGTTCTTTATAACAATTTTTCATACCTTCAATGACATCATCAATAATAGCTGAGGCTGCCCCACTTGTGCCAGAAATTCCAGACATGACACTTTCTGTGTCTGCCGTATCAGCAACCTCACTTTCATTATCTTCGCTCTCCTCCTCCGGCACTTCATTTAATGTTACGATCTTGAATCGAGGATTTGTGTCACTCTCTATGGTTCCATGTGATTCAAGTGCTTTTAGTAGAGTATCATCAAAGGTCAACCTAAAATTTATTTAAAAAAATTCAATAAATGACAAGGTCAGGATTTTTATTGTAGAAGTGGGTAATGTAAATCTTTATGCGTGGCATGGTACAATTTATCCAAAGAGCAATGGTATCACAACTCAACAGGAAACAGTACACTAACATTATGGGATGGATGAATAATGGATCGTCAATAAAATGAATTTAAAATGACTCAATGTCAATATGTTACTCTTATCAGATCTTTCTCATGAGTAGTTATGCAACTCTTTTCCTTTCAAAAACAATGAAAATGTATTGAATTTGACTCATAAATATGCAAAAGCACACTCTGTTTCAGTGGGTTTAGATCTGACATGAACAAATACACTTTCTCTTTCGAGTCAGAATAAATTACAATGAATACTTTCGGGTTGATGAAGATTAATTTTATTCTGAAGCTCAATCAGCTAGCCACCCTACGCTCTGACCAAAATGCATTATTTTACAATTTTGTAGTTGGGCAATGGTAAAAACTTAATGATCTCAAATGTAAATTCCATGGCCATTCAAAGAAACTAATTCAAGGCAGAAATGTAGCCTTCTGATTTTCTTATTTCATATTCTGATTTAACGGTTTATTAGGTAGATATAAGGATTATCTTACATATGTATCTTACGATAAATTCAAGATCTTGATTAGGGTAAGTAAATCTGTTTCTTACTTTATATCCTGGCTGTCATCTGTAGACATGACATGGCAGGGGAATGTCTTCACACTGTTCAGTTTTTCCAAGATCGTGTTAGCATTCATAAACACATGTTTGTCATTATGTAACGCTTTGTAGCTCTCCCCGAGTGTAACTGACATGTCTCGTATTTCTTCACTCAGTTTCACTTTCTGAAATAGAATTAAATATACAACAAGAAGTTACAAAGTAGAATACCACTCTAAGTGGATCACCTCCATAAGTGGAACACTATTCTGGGGTATCAAGGGCATTCCACTTTCACCCATTTTATTGCAAATTGTATTATTCAGTCAAGTGCAAAAGCCATAAATGGTCAGGTCATTGAATTATCAATGTTCATAGGTACAGTTACCTCCAGTTCTATCTTGAAAAACTAGACAATGGCAACTCCGCGGAGTAGCAAATCCCAACGAACAAAATATCAATTACCGAATTCCAATCAATTATACTCATTACTTTGGTTAAAATTGAAAAATTAAAATTTTAGAATTGCGAATTCCTGCAAAGCAGCAATTTTGAATTTTCTGAGGTACAAATCTGAAGAATAATACCATAATTGTGATCTACTCCAAAATTCCTTCAATTTGAGTATAATATAGCCATACTTTGAAGGGATCGAAAAATTATTGCGAAATCGTACATTAGACGGCCATTTTGAATTTTACGAGGCTCGAATCAGAAAAAAGATACAATATTTGCAATCTACTCTTAATTGCCTTTCATTTGAGTATACAGTGTAATAAAGCTATACTTCAGAAAGATCTAAAAATTAGCGAAAATTACTGTTTTCCTGACCCCCCCATACACGGCCCCTGGGGGTCAGGATGAAAAACACGAAATATATGTGAAATAAATAGATGTTGCGAATATACTACCAAAATTTCAAACAATAATATTAATTACTTTGGTTTAGAATGAAAAAGTTATGGTTTTAGCGAAAAAGTCCTGCCATTTTTAAAGCGGTGGCCATCTTGAAAAATTTTTTTTTTGCGTACAACTATTCACCAATATACATCTTTCCACTAAATATGAAGAAAATCCGTCAACTTGTATTTGAGTTATCTTACGGACGGACGGACGGACGGACGGACGGACGGACTGACGGACGGAGGGCTTCACTATATCCCTACCGAACTTCGTTCGTTGGGATAATAAACATTGTTCTTTTCCAGGTCTTCTGGACAAGGACAACGCTTACTTACATGTAATTCTCCAAATTTCTCCAACATACTTGATTCTTCAACTTATACAATTCTCCAACTTATTCAATTCTCTAACTTCCTTAATTCTCCAGCTTACTTGATTCTCAAACCTCCTCAATCCTCCAACTTCCTTAATTCTCCAACTCACTCAATTCTCCCAACTTATTCAATTCTCCATTTTACTCAATTCTTCATTTTACCCAATTCTCCAACTTACCATCTCTTCTAAAGGTGCAGTCTCTGCCATAAATATGGACTCTATCTGATCAATGAGTACCACTTCACGCGCCTGTAAGGCTCCATGTAACATTTGGAACTGAGTTTTGACATCATCAATCAGTTGACTCATCTCTATTCTGATATCAGGGATGGCACTGCTCAGTTTCTGAAATATATTCATGAAGAGAAGTTAAGATCTTAAGTACAGGTACATTCTGTAGTTTGATTTGTAGTACGTGATTGTGCTTTTATACATTTAATAACGGTCTCCTCAGTTTTAACGTGATTATGCACACAAAGCAGAATTCTATATACACGTAGTTCAATCTGACCAATACATATATATATTTTATATTTCTGACTGTTCCCATAGCTGTATTTTAGAAGTTTGAGTAACTGCAAATGTAGTTTGGATTCATGTACAATGTATTTGCTATTATAGATTCATCAACTGATCATGGGGTGTATTTTGAAATTAATATGAGTAAAGAGTCCTGTTTCCTTTACAATATAACATTTTTCTATATTACGGTATTAAAAACTTTTAATCAATTTTATTTACCTTTTCTGAGACTTTTAGTCGCTTGTGAATAGCACTGGCGATTCCCATGGCTGGTTCCAGCATATCAAGTGCTAGGCGATTCTGAAACATTTTTCAATAACTGAATATTCCAAGATGTCATTCTTTCACAACTTGATAAAAGAATAAAAAAATATGTCTCCTTCTATTAAATGATTAATCTATAACAATGAATACTCAGATCTAGTACTTTATATATAATATTCTTCATAAACAACTCAGGACTTAGATTCAAGACCTAGAAAATACAAGTGTTTCTGGTCTTATAGCCTTCAATAGTAAATATAAGTACAGTAAAACCTGTGTAAGTGGAACACCTTTGGTACACCTCAATATGGAGGTGTTCCACTTACAGAGGCTCATTTTTCATTAAGATAACTAGGAACAGGATTTGGAAGTGTTCCACTAATAGAGGTGTTTCCCTTACAGGTGTTCCACTTTACATGTTTTACTGTATATCGAAAACTCTATAATATTATTTTTTTAATGATGCCATTGATTTTTCGATTCGTGACTGGTACCTTTTCTTCCATTGATGATATAGCGTGTCCTTTGTGAGCCCCCACAATAACACAATGAGAACATATAGAGGAATCATCGTCTTCACAGAAGTATTCTATTGGTCGATCATTATGCTCTGAACAGAACTTTTCAGTCATTATAGCCCCCTCAGCTCCAATAGACACTGCCTTATGCTTTTGTAGAGCTTTAGAATGAGAATGAACCTAGAAAATATTTCAAATAGTGTCTTTACAAGACTGTTGAATACATTGAGGTAAAACGATCTTAATTACTTCAAAAGTTTTTTTCTTTCTTCAGAAGATTTTCACCTGTTTGATACTTTTCATGTCAAAGTGTCAAACTTTCATAGTGAGAGACATCTATCTAGCATTTGAAAAGCTGTTTTAATTGGTCATCACTAATGGATGTGACCGGTGGACAGTAATATCTCTCTTATCCAAACACCACTTGACAAGCCAAATTTTCAGATTAGCAGACAGGGTTTTCACCAGGAAATTTTCAGAACCCGGATTTTTAGCGGTATTGTGACTACTTTTTTCGCTATGTCGCAACTACTTCTCCCCCATGTGAGATCAGAGATATCCTATAAGTATACTTTTCAACATACTTCTTCAAATTATCTTGCTATTTTTAATCCCAATATTTATTTTTAAAAGGTTTCTGACATCCTATTACTTGTTTGTATCCAGTTTTATGTATTTTCTCTAGAGTTTTACCGCAAATAATGTGACAAGAATGTAAAATTAGACTCCGGAAAAAACACTTTAGACTCTGGAAAAGCTATTAGACTCTGGAGCAAGAGGGTTTTAAGACATTAGACCCCGGATAATCTCCGGAGTCTAAAAGCCTAGTGAGAACCCTGGCAGATGTTCACATTTCAAGGTTTTTCAATATAAGTCTATGGGAGATTATAAAATCGGTACAGCAAAAATCGTTCACATCGAGAGGTATTCAGATGAGGTTTTCGTATGCACAAATTTCACTGTACTTACCCTGTCAAAGCATACGCCACAGAAAATACAATCACACTTGAGACATCTACAAGTTGCAGAGTTGATATTGCATTCAGTACAAGGTTGTATCTCACTTTGCTGGCAATTGTCAGGCTTCTTTTTCTGAGGAACTTTGATCATACCAGCTGGAGCCAGTTTTAACTCACTAAAGTAGAAAAAAACATTTATCAAATAAATGTTAAATTGAATCTTGTAAAAAGGTATTTTAGTGCAATGTTGACAATTCTATAAATTGCCAATTAATAAAACATTTCTTAATCTGGATATATTTTTCTGCTACCACTGATCACTTAGACGTTGATCCTACAATAATCACACCTCCTTTAGAATTTCTCTATTTCATTGAGTGATTTTACTGAATTTTGCTGACAAAAAAGTATGATGTCTGCTTATCAAGTTGATCACAATATTGGTGATATCAATACGTTTCGCATTCATTCTCAAAATCAAGACCAGAATATGCAGTGTGACAGATCATATAGAGGCAAATATTGATAACATTCCTATTGTATACATGTAATTATTTCTCTCGTTGACATCTATGGATGCTTTTATTTTTTCACTGTGGGGAAAATAATCTAATATTACAATAGCATAGATGAATCAATATGAAATGAATAGCAAACCAGTTGAACACAAGTGTCTTTCATAAGTGTGTGTTTATTAATGAGATTTTGATGCTATATTTTTGCTTTCATAATTCCATGTCATTGATTTTTAAGGTCAGGCCCATTTGGCAAGTTCATTTTAAAAGGGGATAATGAATTTGGACATTTCTGCATCTTAGATCTTCAATAATACAGGGTGTCCCAAAAAAAGGAAACCAGCAATAGATTGCTTATTTCTCAAATATGAATAATGATAGGAAAATTTCACAGCTACCATCTGATAGATTATGATGTTTTCTTTCTTATGATACCAAAGTATCAAATCATCAGGGATGCAGTACGTGCGATGAGATCAAGGGCAGACATTTGCATTGAAAGGAATGGGGGTCATGTTGAAGGACACTGGGGTTAAAACAACTTTGAATGGACATTGGGATTTAAAAGGGGTGTTAAATATGATATGTGTAATTTTAATTGGAATAAATGAGTAAAAGAGTGATATCCTGATGTTTGTTGTTACTTATCACTTTGTTATGATGGTGAAATTGACTTGGCTGAAAGTGGTACGAACTCATTTCTGACATGGTCACTTAAATCCCTTATAACTCAGTCATCCGTGAAGGAAAATAGACAACTTTGGTATCATAAGAAAGAAGACATAACCTATCAGATGTTAGCTGTGAAATTTTCCTATTATTATTCATATTTGAGAAATAAGCAATCTATTGCTGGTTTCCTTTTTTTTGGGTCATATTGTATATCTCATTTTTCAGAAAATAAAATAAGGAAATATAAATAAACATGAGCATGCTTTTTGAAATGATTTCAAGTTTTGCTCTCTCCATCCAATTTGGATGGCTATGACTGACTCTACTGACTTAAGTATGTGTTTATTATAATTTTCAAGGTTTCATTTAGGTTGCATGGCAAGCTAAACATGGGCTTTCAAGAGATCTCTAGTAAACATAAAATTTATGTTTTATTTCCCAAGTAACGTGCTATTCAAAACAAGTTGTGATTTCCAGTGTTGAGGGACCCCAGGCAGTCTAGTGACCTAATATGCTTATAGTATCATTACTATCAGATCATTTGCAGACCTACATGTAGTTTTGTGAATCATCATCCTAAAAGTGGCTTATAATGTACCTTACAAAGCCGCTAATGTATTTGTGTTTATTGTAATAATTTGAAATAAAGAAATACAATATATATTTAAAAAAAGTTGTGATTTCTCTCACTTTACTATTACTAGAAGACTTGAGATACATTATAATTTAAAAAAACAAAATAAACACTTACTGATCAACTGAATACCGTTTGTTAATAGACAACAGTCCGAGGACATATATATCTGGCCAAAGACTGTTCACGCCATCTTTTAGAGGAGTGTCTTTCTAGAATAGTAAAACAATACAAATACACAGTCTATAATGCCAATACATATTTGACATTCAATCCAGGATGCAATAACAATTTGCTAATTGGAATTGCGGTTCCGAAAAAATAAATGACATTTAAGAAAGTTATTTTATACGTATCTGTATGGTAATCACTAGGCCTAATTGATTAATTTTTTACACATCTATCCTATTCAAAACTTATTTGGTGGGATGTTTATTTTCTTCCAGCTTACCAAGAAAGCACTAAAGAGACAAAATTTCATCACCAAACTACAAATGGTTAGAACTTAGAGTACAAAAGTATTTAGCAAACACAAAACAACTACAGCTAGCTGATTGCCAATCACTAATACTGAACACTGAGACTGAGTCTCAAAAATAGTGCTATAGTATAAAAAATGTCGTAACAGATTGGTGGTGACATAAACACATCCTACGATCACAAGGCTTCAAAATCCAGAATATCTTCTTTCTTTTTACCCCCTGATATAAGCAGTTAGCATTTCCCCAACAACACTACGACAGCAATCATGTATACCTCATCGGCGCATAATTAGATCATGTGATTCAGTTTAATCGTGCGCTTCTAATTTGGTTATAAGAAGGAGGTACGGATTCTGGACACCTGCTTAGGAGGATGGACATAACAAGACTCACTGAAAAGTGCCATTTAAATGCCAATTTTATGAAATATGGTTGAACTGTTTTTACCTGACATGTTGGACACTGGACGACATTGTTCTTCAACTTGGCCAGCTTCACGATACATCCTTCACAGAATGTATGACCACATCTTAACAACAGGGGTGTACGGTTGCCCTGTGCTCTGTTGTCTACAATGAGGGAAATATTTTCTGAATGGTTTTATGGACGTTAGCCTACAAAGTAAGTTCTTTATGCATGCAGCACTTTTCTTCCATTGAATCTGGATCAACATTCATTTTGGCATCATTTCGGTAACATGCATAATCCATTCAAAACATCAAAATAATGCTTAAAGTCTTGAGACTCAACTGAAGTTAAAAAATAAGGGGAAATGTACACCAACTCAGTGATTATGACCAAACAAAAACGGGAGTCCAAACTGGAAGTCAAAAGAGTAACCGCACTTTCAGTTTGGACAAGGGTGACAAATCTGGAGGAATGTTTATTTATGAATATGTTATTGAGCTTCTGATCTTGTCGGCATCCATAGATCCCGGCCAGATTCTTTTGTAGTAGGATCGGTAGCTCAATAAATATTCCTCAAGATAAGACACCAAGAAAATTTCTAAATTTTAAAAATGACGATTTGCAGCCATTTCCGAAAAATATGAGACAAATCATACCTCATTCAAAGTACCCCCATAATTCGAAGCGTCTTGTTATTCTTTAACTATTTATCACCAATGAACGTTATTCAAGCAATACTGCATTGATTAGAGGCCAAAACAGTGATATTTTATCGTCGGGCTCTTGTCTGTTCAAATCTGAATGGTGCTCCTGTGATTCCAGAAATGTGACGTCAGAATTACAATGATATTTGGACACACAAGAGACCAGATCAAGGGAAAAATATTTGCCGTATTAGTCTAAAAGTCAAATTACTGCGTCCATAGGTTATTTACTCGAACCAAACAAGTAGAAATAGAAAGATGAAGATCTCAGCTATAAATTAAAGACACAGAACCAAGACCCTGGGTCCTGTTATCCAATCAAAAAGTAGTTTTCATTAACCAATAGAAATTCACACCGATTGAGCCAATCACAGCCTTCAAAACAAGATTTTTAAAAATGGCCACCAAAATAGTAAACAATAACATAGCAGTAAAATTTTGTACTCACATATATATGCAGGGCTGTCAACTTGGGACCACCTAATATGAGTGACTTACAAATGTTGGACACCTAAGTCCAAATCTGAACACTTTTGTCCAAATTTTGAACACCTTTGGCCAACTTTTAAACACCTTTGGCCAAAGTTTGAGCACCTTTGCCAAACTTTGATCACCTCAAATTTTTCGCGCTCGCTACGCTCGCGGTGTCATCAACGGGGGGGGGGGGGGGGGGGGGGGGGGGTAGGTACGAAAATTTCCAATTAACATGCGTGACATATACGGGATTCGCGTGACAAATCCGAACAAATTGCGTTCGTTTTTCTTCCGACGTTCGTATTTTTACCGTATCGTAAACATGTTTTGAAAAATTTTCTACAGAAATATTTTTGCTTGACAATTACCAGGTAAAATGCGTATTTGCGTGACATTTTCTGTCACGCAAAAAAAACTGGCGTGACTTCAAATTCTTCAGCAAATGCGTGACAAATACGCAAATTGCGGGACAGTTGACAGGCCTGTATATGCATTGGTTTCTCATTTAATAATCCACTAAACAATATTATAAGAGCATATAATCCAAATAGTAGTTACTATAGTTAATCTGTATACTATTATATTTAATTAATCCGAATAAGAATATTTCATTGTGTAAGTCTAGCTGAACTTATATCCATTCACTGGTAAACATGTCCTTTATATTCAATGCCAGGTGGATTCGGGAACCATTCTCTCACTTGTGTGACAACACATGTGGGCATTATCTCCCTTTTATGGTATATTATACTTCTGTCACTACTTTTGGAAGCTGCCTTTTTGGTTAAATAGTTAGGATGTCTCCATAGTCCTAGATTGTTTATCATTCTCAAAAATTCCTTGTACAGTTTTCTCCTTGTTATAATGTTTGACAATGATGGAGTTGCATTTGTTGTCCTCCAAAATGGCTCATACTTGGCTTCATTGACAACACATGGGTTCCAGAAACAATGCGGACAATCATGTGACTCTTCATTAGAACTAGGGGAATCATTGTTAGGAGGCTGCGGAGGCTCTGTAGATACATGTTGTGGTATCATACCAGTCAAAATGCTGATTGACTGACTTGCTTGACTTTCGTCTTCTGTTGAAGAATCAGTGGCTACTGTTTCTAAAGAACAAATTGCTACTGTTTCTGAAGAGATACTAGCTGATGTTTTCCTCTTTGCTGCTTTTCTTCTATTCACATTTACTGTTTTTTCTGTATTATTCAACCTACTGTTCTTGTAGCTGTCCTCAATGGGGTCAAAGTTCCAGTCATAGTGATCATATAGGGATTCTATCACTAACCTCTGTTCCTCAGTTACATTTATCTTCAAGCTGTAAGTTCTGCTTTCCATTTCACTGCTTGAACTTCAAACATAAAATGACACTGTTTCTTGGATCATAGATTTAGTTTTTAGAATCTGAAAGACCAGTGAAATGCAGCTTGATAAATGTATATTACTATGGGAAAACCAAGGCTTTCTCCAATTCTTGGAGGTTTTAATAATAAATACTCTCTGGTGGATTCATCATCTGGAATCTCAGATATACTCACTCGGGAAGGTACATTAAATGTTGAATGTCACCAGAAATCTAACATATAATCTTCATATGTGGAAGAGTGTAATTTGTTCACCCCTGTGTTCATGATATGGTACATCCACATGAACTCTTGTAAGGTCCAAATCTAGGTTTCTATTGATGTGACCATGATTGATAACTAATAAACATGACTCCCTGACTTTGTCAATGAGGCATGTAGAAAATCTCTTGAATTTCCCAATTTTTCAATTTTATAGCTAAGTGGTGAAAGCAGGCAAATCCTAGACCTCTGAGATTTTTAATTGGGGCTGTACCACTTATGTGCCTCATGGCATAAGTTGCAAACAGTTACCTGGATTTTTTATTTTTCTGAACTTTCATCATTAAATTATGGCTAGAATTTGAGTAAGAACAAAAAAGAAATGTGGTTATAATGCAACAATAAAATATGGCTTATCATTTTTGCACTCCCTAGCTTAATAACTAAAATAAATATAATTATGGTTATATATTTCCCACACTGTCACATCCCTAAGGTACACCCTTTGCCTAAATTGCCATGTGTTTTCAACTGTTACATTTGTGCCTTTTCACATATCTTACTAACAGTTACTAGGCAAGACACACATTGTAGCAATCCTAAACTGTATGATGGCAAGTAAAGCTAAGAAAAAGAAGGAATATAGAGAAAAGCATGGGCGTTCCTCAAGATTCTCAATTGAATGTGCAGGAGGTCAAGAGAAGAAGGAAACTTTGCTTGGAAAAACGAGTAAAATAAAGAAGTTTTTACACCTGAATGGCAATGTAGATGCCATAGAAATAGCATTAGACTATTGGCTAACACACAATATGCCATCTGCAAGTAGCAACACACATACTTCAGCATCATCTGAAGGCAATCTTGAGCCAGAGTCTTGGTACACACCACTAGAGAGACATGAAACTGAGCAACCAATATTTTTTACAACTGAAAAAACTGTCAAAAAACTTGTAAGTTTAGTTGAACATCATAGCAGAATATGTCAAGCGGAACTTCAGTTGCAAGAAGTAGTATTACATGGACATGCAGCAACAATTGCATTTAAATGCCAGGTCAGCGAACATTATGTAAGATGGCCTTCCTCACCCCACTTACCAAATAGCGAGGCTTACGTCAATCTTCGTTTTTTCTTTGGACAGTTGACAAGTGGGCTACTGCCTTCACAATATGAGAATGTTGTTAAAGCAGTCGGTATGGGCCATCTAGGTTGGAGAAAAGAGAAGACTTATACAAATGAATTATCTTCTCATATCAGTGAAGCGATGAAAGAATCTTGCAAAGCTGCCTTAGATGAAGAAAAGGGGACGTATCCTGATGTCGAGGCAAATGGTATCAATATCATGACGGATGCTCGACATGGTGGTAGAAGAAATGCGTTTGATTGTGATGTGATATGTTTGGGCCACAACAAACACAGAGTTATACGTTCTGAACATGTTTCAAAGGAAGATGAAATGTCATCTCAAAAGCATGAGGCATTGGGTACTAAACGGATGTATGAATTTTTTGATGCTGAACAAGTTAAAATAAATATTCATGCCCATGACAACAACGGTACAATCAATAAAATAATCCGTGAGCACAGAGGACCTGGTGGCAAGGAAACTTTAAACCAGAATGACACATGGCATGCGGCAAAGTCATTCAGTCGTGAAATAAACAAAGTTTGTAAGGGGCCCAAATATAAAGATGGCGAGACGTGGCACTCGGAACTCATAGACAAACCCGATGGGGCACGAAAAAGAGCACAGCAAGTTATTCGAAACTGTGATAAGAATCCGAATACAATCAGGATGAAACTAGAGCAAATTCCAAACCATTATAAGGACAACCATTTAAATTGCGATGCCATATCAAGCTGTAAAACAAATATCAACTACAGATTAGAGAAAATTAGAATCACCTCACCCATTGCAGAACAATTATTATTACCATCAATTAAAAAAACAGAAATTTATAGACACGCTGAACATTATACAGAAGCTATGGACACATTTTATGTTGAGAGCTTCAACAATACGTTGAATATTTTCCATGATAAGCGTGTTGTCTTTAAAAAGCAACAATTCGAAATAAGAACTAATCTAGCTGTCGTCCACTGGAATGAAAATGTAGACCGTGATTATTCCAGCATTACTGAAATTGATGATCCACTGAATCCCTTCAAACAAAGAAAAGTTTTGAAGGACTACACAACTAATTACAAAAACAATATTTGGAACAAATGGATGGATTCTATATTTTAATTATACAATATACTTATACTTTACCACATTCCATAGATTATTTACAAGATTAATAACATATAAATACAACATGACTATGTGCATGTAATTGGATTAACTATCACTGTTGGATATATAAAGATCACATCACTTGAAATGCCTCAGCCAGGATCAGGGTAAGTTAATATCAATAATACTTCATTTACTGCAGATATTTTAGGCCATGTGCTTTTGTTGACCTCTAAATATGCACGGATCGCCTGTTGTGATTGGCTCATTTCAAAATAGGCTCCTCCTTCTCAGTTGTTCCAATATCAGAAATTAAACAGTAATAATTACAAAAGTAAATAATATCTTGGACTGGATTTAACATGTTTCAATGCCTCCTATATTCATAGATAACTGTGACAATTTATAGAGTGATAGGGTTTCTATAACTAGAGAAAATGAGGAAAATGTCAGTGAGCTCAGATTTTGTCTAAATTTTGAATTCAGCCATGTTTTTTCAACTGATTCAGGCCTTTTATAGCGGGGGTGAGTCTTTAAGTACAACTGTCACAGGAAAGCAGGTGTATAAGGAAGGTTTTGAAAGGTGGTCACTTTTTTTCCAATTTGTAGTGACACATCTTCTGAATTAGTCTTTGAGATCCTACTGCAAAACGATCTGGCCAACATCAATGTCGGTATCTATGAACATGTAGTTTAATATATCAGTCGTGTCACTTTCAGTTTCACTTTCAGTTGAAATTTGGAAAGGGCAGACGAAAATGGAAACAGAAAAGTAGAACAATCTCACTGACCTTTAGCACCAAATATGTTGTAACAGGTCGGGCATGCAGGACTCTTCTGCATTTTCGCAAGATATCAATACGTTTTATAGTGTGACATCAATGGATAGTAGCTTCGTTCTTAGATAAATGGCTAAAAGGAAAAAAACATTCAAGTTCGTAACTTTTTTCACATGCCAAATCTATAAGGCGGCAGAAATTAGGCGATATGGTATAGGCCTATCAACTTTATTAGTTAGTCACAGAATTGCTCTCGAAAATATTGTGTCATTTTGGTTGAATTAAAATAAGTATAGACCGCACATATTTATTGATTTGACTGCGTTGATATAAGTTCATGGCTGTTCAAGACATTACGACTCACATTATATATGGACTTCCGGTTCCATGGCGGGATATTCAAAAGTGACGATTCCTCCAGCACAAGTAATCATTGGAAGCTGACAACTATGGATCTCACAGACACATTAAGGGATGAAGTGGATCTCATGGATATATTCAGTAGTCTAGTCTAGTCTAATTATTGGAAGCTGACAACTATGGATCCCATAGACATAAGACTATAACTTGGAGCTGACAACTTAAACATAGCCAGCGATCATTGGAAGCTGATAACTTGATCCCATAGACACATAGACACGTGGATCTCATAGACATGATAGATACCGGGTCATATATATTCAGCAATCATTTGAAGCTCTGAGAAGCTATGGATCCCATAGATACATACAGGGTGACAAAAAAACTGGAACCCACCTTTAACCCACTTTAACCCACTTTTCAAATCTGCGCATGCGCCAGCAATGGAGTCTTTGAATTTTCGCAGCGACTTTAGATGAATTTTATCACCAACTACCGATGCCAGATACGATACCAAACGACAAATCAAGTGTGTAACGGAGTCTTTGATCCAGATGTATGGAAAAATCACAATTGGAGCGCCAATACAGTGAGAACTAGACGAAAATCCAAAACTTTTATGAAGAAAAATTTCCCGCGAAAATCCAGTCTACAATAGTCCCCGGCAATAGTCTCAGGGTAGAGCGTTTCTTCTCCCAATTTCCAACCCAGTGATAAATCCAAAACATATAACAAGGATATAAGTAAAAAATAATCTTGAATATGGATCGATTAAAAAGAATATCCCCAGTTGCCTATCGACCTCAGTCACAAGAAAATAAATCTCGATTGTCGGACTCCACATCCCGAGGTAAAGGTAAAAATTCAAAAAATCTAAATTCTGAAATTTTGGAAGAAAATGAGCTGAATACTACGTTTATCAATCAAAGTAACGACTCTGAAGTCTTCTCACAAGATACAGCCAGACCCAAAGCAGATGCAGACAACCTATGTGAGTATTGTAACAAAAATATAAGTGAAGTAGAGTGTGAAATGTGTAGAAAATGGACATGTGTAAAATGCCAAAATCTGACAAAATCAACTTTGAAAGCAATTGACAATCACAAAAATCTGCACTGGTTCTGTATTCCGTGTGAGCGTAATGTGACTGACCTCCTCGAATCTAGCACTGTATCAACTTCAAAATTTGATGAACTCATTACAGCATCGAATAAGAAAATTACTAGTGCAATCACTCAAAAATTTCAGAAAATGCAAAATGAAATCCTGCAAAAAACTGCTGACAGTAAAATCACACAGCAAATTGTGAATTTGGAGAGAAAAATGTATGATGAATTCACTATAGTCACAGAAGTGTTGAAAACAAGTAGCTCCACCATGATAGAAACAATGAAAATTAGCAATACAATACTTCTAGAAAAACTTGAAGCAATAGAAAATGAAATTAGACAAATAGATCAGGAAGTGAAAGATGAAAAACACACTAAAGGAGCTAACGACAAAATCACAGAAATACAATCAAATCTATCTGAAGTGAAAAAATGTATACAGCAAAATCAACAACAACCAGATCTACTAACAGAACTAGAGGAAAGAGACAAAAGAAAGAATAACTTAGTTTTCTCTAATGTACCAGAAAGCAGTCTAGAAACAGCGCGACAACGTAAGATGGCGGACACTACAGTAGTCAATGAAATAATTGAACACCAACTTAAGTTAGAAAATATAAATATATCACGCACCACGAGACTAGGTGCCTTCAAGGACTCTGAGAGGCCAAGGCCACTGCTGATTATTTTCGAGGACACAGAAATGAGAAACGATGTGATGAATGCTGCCCCAAACCTCAGAAAAAGCACCCAATGGAACAGAACTTATATACAGCCAGACCTTACCCCTTATGAGAGAAGAATAGCGTATGAACTACGACAAGAGAGAAATCAACGGATACAAAATGGAGAACAAGGTCTTATTATACGAAATGGAAAGATAACAAAGAAACGCCAAGCTGATCCACCAAGACAACAGTATACACGCAGACCACAACTTGATACAAATGTAAGGGAGATTTCAGACGAAGAGGATAACATCTCAACCCACACTGATGATACAATAGAATCAGACATGGAAAGCCAAATGTACCATCCACCACGATCACCATGGCAACCTCACCAACATTTCCCAAACTCAAACAGACGAATTGAGATAGAAAAATCAGCTAGCTACCACAGAGCAGACAATCCCTCCCCCCTACCTCAAACAACAAGTGAATATCATACTCCAGACAGGCAAATTGAAATAATAGAAGAAACAAGCTACCGGAGCAGTAGCAAAAAAGACTGACAGAAGAAGGAAAAAATTGTAAATAGTGTAAATAGTGTAAATAAAACAATAGGAAACAACAAAAAGCAAAGGGAAAAAGCTGTAAATTTGACTAATCCTAGTAATGACAGAAACCTGAAACCATTAACAGTCATCTATGGAAACTGTGATTCACTAATGAACAAACGAGACGAATTAAAAGTCATTATCCAGATGAAAGATCCAGACATCATTGCTCTAACAGAAATCAAACCAAAAAACTCGAAATACCCAGTTCTAGAACAAGAACTTAAACTCGATATGTACAACAGTTTCCACAATATTGATACGACAAACACCAGGGGAACAATAATATATGTGAAATCCCACATCAAATCATCCCAAATTGAATTATCAGGAAACGAAGCTGAATCTATATGGATCACTGTAGGATCTGGACAACATGAATGTACAATAGGATGTATATATCGCAGCCCGAGCAGTACCAAAGACAATTCATTTGCAGTACTAAACCAAATCACAGAAATATGTGGAAAGTCACCCAAACACATGTTAGTAGTTGGAGATTTCAACCTACCACAGATTGACTGGGAAATCAAATCGGCGCTAAATGGACCAAATAAGGAAACTTCGGAATACCTGCTTGAAATAATTGATGACAACTTCTTGACCCAACACCAGATGAAAACCACACGAACCAGAACAGGACAACAAGGAAATCTACTAGACCTAGTACTTACAAATGAGCCAGACACAATAAGCAACCTAGAAAACAACCCACCGCTGGGGAGAAGTGATCACCACATGCTTTCTATGACTATAAACTGTGCACAAAAATTCACACCAAATGAGAAAAAGATAGAACTTCTACAGAAAGCAGACTTCAAGAAAATGAGAAGTGATTTAAGTGTAGACTGGGAGCAAATCTTCGAAGGCCAAACAAGTGAAGAAAGCTGGTCAATATTCAAAACCAAATTAGAAGAAACCACAGAAAAACATATCCCCAAAATTACACCGGGAAAAAAGAGACAACCGTGGATAGATACAGAGTGTATGAAGGCGATAAGAACCAAACGGAAAGCTTTTAACAAGATGACACGAAAAAGGAAAGATGATACTCTGAATGAAGAAGATAAAAAGATATTTAGGAAAGCATGTAATCAAGCCAAGTCAGAAGTAAGAAAAGCCATAAGAAGATATGAAAGGAAAATGGCAAAAACGATAAAATATAATCAAAAACCATTCTGGAAATATGCCAACAATAAGAAAAAATCCAGAGTAGGAATCCCTGATCTTGATCGAAAGGATGGAACACAAACAAATTCAAACCTAGAAAAATCAGAAGTCCTTAACGAATTCTTCGCAGAAGTATTTACAGATGAGGACACTGAGAATATACCAGTCATAGACTACATATATATAGGGTCTTATATTACCAACTGGCAGATAAGCGAAGGAGAAGTGACCCTTGAACTAAAAAATCTGAAAACCAACAAATCACCAGGACCGGACAAAATCAAAGGAATTATCCTCAAGGAACTAGCAGACACTATAGCCCATCCCCTCTATTTAATCTACAAGAAATCACTAGATGAAGGATACCTACCACAAGACTGGAGACGAGCTAACATAACCCCTCTACATAAGAGCGGTTCAAAGTCAAGTCCTAACAACTACCGCCCAATAAGTCTCACATGTATTACCTGCAAAATACTTGAAAGCATCATCAGAAGGCAACTGATTGAACACCTGTACAAAAACAATCTTCTAAATACAGCCCAACATGGTTTCCTGCCAAATAGGTCTTGTACAACTAATCTTCTGGAAATAGTTGAAGCATGGTCAAATCTACTAGATACAGGGGGCGCTACTGATGCTATTTATCTTGATTATGCCAAGGCGTTTGATTCCGTGCCCCACCAAAGACTCCTACTCAAACTGGAAAGAAATTTTGGAATTAGGGGTAAATCTCTGATGTGGCTCTCGCACTTCATCCAACATAGAGAACAACGAGTAGTTATAAATGACATATCAGCACCATGGACCCCTGTACGGTCAGGAATAGCTCAGGGATCTGTAATTGGACCTTTGATCTACCTACTGTATGTCAACGACATGCCAAACGTTGTTAAACACAGTAATATAAGCCTGTTCGCTGACGATACTAAACTCCATAGAAAAGTTAACTCCATAGATGATCAAACTTTACTACAGAGGGATATTGACAATGTTCAAAAATGGACTCAAGATTGGCAATTAAAATTCAATACTAAAAAATGTGGCGTACTACATATTGGAAGAAGTAACAGGAATTTCGACTACCTGATGAAAGACAACAACTCAGACCAGAAATCTACAATTAGACATAGTAACTGTGAAAGAGATCTTGGAGTTTATATGGATACAAATCTCAAATTCAGTAACCATGTCAAAACCATAGCAAACAATGCAAACAAAGTGCTTGGAATGGTAAAAAGATCTTTTACATACTGGGACACTGATACATTT